TTCCGCACTTATTTCGGTTAGCCGACGCGATTAATTTTAGGAAGGACTATTCAACCCCCTCTAGTAGCCATCTCGACCCTTTCAGGTGGCCGGCCGGAGAAGAGAAAGGGGGTCGCGGGGGTGGCCGCGTGGATCAGAGCTCGTGTTTGCGTCGAGGATGCCGCCACGCCGGAGCAGGATGAGGGAGAGGGAGGCAGCGGGGGGCGTGGCTCATGCGACGCACGTGGGGGCAGGGGCGGGGGCGCGGCTTAGCAGAGGAGCGTTGCGGCGTGGGTGCGGTGGGTGCGGAGATGCCGCGGTGGGGGAAGGGGCACGGGAGGAATGAGTGGGTGCGGAAATGAGCTGACGGAGACGTCTGTCCGTCCGAACGTCTGGTATGTATCATTATCGCTTTGTTAATGGTCTTAATTTGACATGAGGGGCCAAATCTCTGATAATGTTCAAATTTCGCCATAACTAAAGATGCAATTTCGTTTTCTTCCATGTTATTCCGCATTTGATGAGAGAATTTAAGGGCCTGTTTGGTTCTTGTATATGCCCTGGCCTGGCCCTCGGGATGTAGTTTCCCAGCGTTTGGAAGCCTGGATCGGGTTCTGGGCCTGTTCCTCGGCGTGCAACGAGCCACCCGGAGCCTGGCTCCTGAAAAACGGATTTCAAATCCGTTTTTGCCGGGCCTGCCGGGCACGGGCGCAGCGCGCGTACGCGCGTGAGACGGCGCATGCACGAGGCAGGAAGGAAGCGGGGCAACCAATCGCCATCTGTGTGTAGCCTGGCCGGATGAAACCGATTAACCAATCACGCTCGCATGCATGCGTCGGGCCTGGCCAACTGTGGCCTGGCTTCCTTCGTGCGAGCCAGCTTGGCAGGGAAAAGGAACCAAACGCCCCCTAACTCTCATTAGGTAGTGCCATGTCAGCGTTTTTAGGACAAGGCAAGGAGAAGCAAGTGCATATGTGCACTCTCCAATACAGCAAAATGTCATCTTTGAAACAATGCATTGGAGCTATTTCAACTACTAACTAAATACCTTCTTGCTGATGTGACACTCTTAAAACACATGCATTTAGGGGGGTGTTTAGCTCCCCAAATTTCCAGAATTTGGCACTATGCAAAAAGAAGATTTCCCGTCACATTAAACTTGCAGTACATGCATGGAGTACTAAATGTTGACGAAATCAAAAACTAATTGCACAGTTTGGTTGTACTTTGCGAGACGAACTTTTGAGCCTAATTAGTCAACAATTGAATAATTTTTGCCAAATAAAATAAAACGGCACTGTAGCTACAGTGTTCCTGCCGCGACCAATTCGGCGGAACTAAACGAGGCCTAGGTAGCGTTTGGTTTGGTGGCAGGTAACGTAAACAGTAATGGAAATAGCTGAGGGGGGGACCGGCGGGGGATAATTGATTCCTTATGCCTCATTATTTGTGCAAGGTTGAAAACAGGCCCGTTTCTATTCCTAGGGCAGATCGAGTGAATCCGGGTGGTTCACTGAAACCTGGTCACCAGTGGATCTGACCCAATCAATACTCTACAACATGAGGCCCGTTCGTTTCAGCCAGGAATGAAAACTTTAACGACTTAACGTAAACACTTGTTTGACAGCAAATCAAGGTCACTTGTTTGACAGCAACTTACAGTATACATTAGCAGCTTGTTTGATAGCAACTTGACAGTAAACATTTATCTACATGTATGAAAAGCAAGGGACTGAAATGAGGGGAGACGTAGCAGACAAGTAGCAAACAAAAATAGAGTCTTGATCAATAAGCATCATCCTTTCAGTCTTGATCAAGACAAAATAGAGTTTGAACAGGCGGAAGCATAAATCTCTCACAGAAGTTACAAGAACTCTAGGTTATCTAGTGATGTTGATAAATATATGAAGACCTTAGACCTCCTGCATACTCAAGCCTCTCAAGCCTGGTAGACAAAAAATTCAACATCAGTTCTAGTGACATGACAATAGTATTTGGATTCATAATCTGGAATAGTGACAAATTAGATTAGCCCTAGCTCCTAACTAAAATTTTAATGGAGAACTGCAATTCCAACAAATATATAATCCATTAGCCTTAGCTCCTAACCAAAATAGGAATAGTCCTGCTGATCATAGTATAAATAATACTATGAGATCTCGCAACAAATTCTAAAATATAGAACAGAAAATTCTTTTATAGGTAAAATACAATAGTACATGTATAAGCCAAGAGTTAATTAAATTATATGCACTGCAAGTATAATAAGCAAGCAACAAGTACTGCTAAAATTAAATTAGTAACCACTGCAGATGCCATTTGAAAATCAGAGTGCACAGGCATTAAAGCAGAGTGGGTATTTGAAAAGGAGACTAGCAGCTTCATGAATTAGCACAAGTGCACAGGCATGCAGCTGGGTACTGCTGTTGCTGCCACACCATCAGAGTGGCACTAGCACATGAAAATATTTTTACAAGTAGAGATAAGTTCCACCAAATAAAGATGCACCACTAGTGTGACTAGGATCTTCATGAATTAGCACAAGTGCACATGGCATCTATTATACATTGTGGCAATAATTTGCTTTTATAAGAATGAAGAATAGGGATTATGCCTACCCCAACTTGTTTGTGACTTAAATGCTTTGTTGTTGTTGTTGTTGTTGAAGAATAAGGACTATATGGCAATATGTTTTCTAACGGACATATGATGGTAAAACACATCAGAGACCAGTTCTACAATGCAGACGTTTATAGAATGGACAAGACATGAGTAAGCATCTACTGTAGGTCCAGATAATTAAATCACTAGGTATTCATGGTGCTGATTTGGTTCAGACAAGAAGTTTGCGCTTAGCAGGTGGTTTCCAATGTTTTCCTCACATCCATATCATACTTCCATGTTTACAGTGATCTAAGCATATGTTTGACCTGGCAGGCAATACTCATATTTAAGTCATAGTTACTATAGACTTACGAATATGATTAAATTGTATGGAATCAATTTATAAACTGAACTAAACCATTACGGTCAGCACTTAAAATGGATGAAGCATATACGTAACCAGGTCGCCATACTAATAGAAGACAAGCATGCACGGGATACATAATGAAGTTCAGAAACTGAATATAAGTTACAACATTTCAGCAGCAACCATGGTCACAGTTAACACAAAATAAGCTAGCATGGATTATGACATATTGTAGTACGTCAACTTCAATTTTGCCAGTAGGAGTATGCTACCAGTACTATGCTACCTGTACAATTCTTTGGTCCAATCAGTGCCTTTTTTCTCTCTTTTGGAAAACAAAACAAAACAATACGGCATCTCACATCAAATGGTTAATTTTCAGTCAGACTAAAGTTGCTAAATAAGTTGTCTTTGCAGTTGCATAACTCATGACACATGGATATCAGGATATGGTGACAAAATTCATACAGCAAGAAGGCACCACAATTAAACGTAACAGCCATCATGTTAGGCATCTACCTTCTCATTTAGGACCGCAATATATTTGTCATATATAACAACTCAGCACCACCTAAGAACCTACCCACATTTCCTAACCCCTGTCAGGAATCACCTAGCGACTTTGTAATCAGAACACAAGGAACAGTGTGTAAACAGAACACCCAAGCAATTGCATCAACTCATCATTAATCAATGGAGGCTTCAATACTTTATAAGAAAAAGAATCTTGACTTCAAGAACTATGAACCCTAGGCAGCACCATGGAGAAAAAAGGGGAAGGAAGAGGAGAACTCACTAGCGTAAAATTTAATCCATATCCCGCGTACCCGCACCGCGGATCTCAACTAGAACTAGATCATCTTGCTCGTCGTCTAGGATCAAGAACCCTAGAGGGAGAGAAGACGACGACGAAGGGGAGAGCGAGGGGATCACCGGCGAGAAGGATGAGGAAGGGGAAGGACGTACGGTTGGAGTCGATGGCGTCGCCGTCGGCATCGCCGTCGCGCCGCCCCGCTGTCGCCTCCACTGCGGGAGCTCGTGGTCGCCTCGCCTCTGGTTCTCGCGTCGTACCTCGCGCCGCCTCCCTCCAGGATCCAATCCGGAGGGTAGGAAGTGTGGCTTTGTTCCGGGCCGTGGAGGGAGCGGAATGGCCAAATCTAGCCAGTTTTCTTTCCGGGCCGTATCTAACCGAACGATCAATCCTGGCCCGACCTGACTTCGAACCGGGCCATGTCAATCCGGGTGGATCAGGCCGCGTTCCTGGCCGTTCCGGGCCAAAACGAACGAGGTTGCATGTGGTAACAGTATTGATCCGGAGATCGGAGGCGCTCGAAGTCTCGGAGCGAGGACGCGGCGGCGACGTAATCGGATAAGGCTCGGGGACCAGGCGGTATCAGCAATGACTGAAGCGTTGTTTGATTCCACGGTAGCTGTTAACGGACTGGGCCGAACCAAACACCCGTATCGCGGTACTATTCCCTCAGTAATCAGATTGCGTTACATTTCCCTGAACCAAACGCCTTGTTAGTTTCAACCTCTCGGCTAGCAAAATCTTTCCAGAATCACCCCGTGCCAGTTTTTCATCTGCGTTATTTCAATAAAGCCACATCTGTAGTGTTACAAATTGCAACAGCAGCAGATGTGAATAGGACGTGTTGATTCCCTTTGCGTAAGTACTAATGAATTAGTTTATTCATACCACATCAAACTGGTGCGATGATCCTACTGGTGTAGTATTGTGTGCCACCACCAAATAAAGAATACAGTTTCAATCAATCGGCATAACATGGTACTGTGGTACCAGAAGCGCTCCATGGTCCCACTTTACATCAACTCGCCCACTCGACAACCTGCATGGTTGTAGCACCATGAGATGAGATAGTCCCAAACAGTCCACTCGTGCACCAGCACTTTCAAATTCCTTGAATCTCCAGAAGAGACTTAAGCAACACACTGGAAGATGCATCCGTACAGATTAGAGCAGGGAACAGGAGGGGAAGCATGTACCAACAGGTTTGCAGTTTTGCGCAGCCAGAAAAGATTAGCACATCTAGAGATGCAGCTGCTTGCAATGCGACGCCACAGCCTCCGAGGGGCAGTAGGGGCACTTGAAGGACCTCGAGCTGCTTTTCGACAGCTTCATGATGGACTGCTTGGAAACAACATGTCCACAAGGCATCGGCATTGGGGGGTTCTCGTCACTGGACTGCTCCCTAAGCACCGGGCACACAGAGACAGAGTGGTACTGGAATTCTGGCCCGATGTCTATGGGGACAGGGAGCTGCTTCATAACTTGCCACTCCTGCTTCTTCGCAGCCATGATTTGCGTCAGCTTCAGCACAGTTGGTAGTCCTTGAAAACCAGCTGATACTGCAACACTCAGTGGGCTCTCCCTAGACTGGCCCAGAAGGCTAGAATTGATGGGTGAGCTCCTCAGCTAGCTTGTCCCAATGCGCGGATGACATTAACTCAGAACATGGGGATTGATCCAGCCGCCCAACCCATAGAAGGCAAGCCAATAGCTTCTGGAATTCTTCCTTGTGCACGGCTGCAAAGGGAACCAAGTGAGTCCTAGCATATAAAAGAGCCTCATCTTTGGCCTCACCCCTACTTCCTTTGGACAGTATTTTCAACAACCTGAAGCTGATAAAGCTTGAACTAGCATAGACCCATTCCGCAACAGCTGCTCATGTTTTTTGGCAGCTTAACTGAGGGTATGATGGATAAGTCTCATGTGTGGCTGGTCTTTGTGGGGCTGTGCTGCTCACATGGTCCTTGTGGCTGTTTTTCTATTTTTAGGACAGCATCTTAGACTAGAGGACAACATCTTAAAGGACAGCATCTTAGACTAGAGGACAGCATCTTAGCTATGACAGCATATTAGCATCTTAGACTAGTATCTTGGCACATGCTTGGCTGGCTAGCAGCATATAAATATGTAACCCCAACCCCTCAGGTTGGTATGTCATTTATGTGAGTTTGTGTGAAAAATAACTAGAAAATTGTCCCAACTCCTAGTGTCATCCTCTCTCGATGAGAGTAAGAATTCTGCTGCTACCGAGAGTAAGAGTTCAACGACTAACGGGGCAGGCTCGAGGTTTCTCGCTTTCAAGGCTTCAAGCCTGAAATGGCAGCTCCACCTAATTCCCCACACTCATGCACAAACATGTCACCAAGATCAAACAGGCTTTGGCGGTAGAAATGATTCGCTATGATATTGTTTACTGTATGAACCTCAAAATCCATATTTCTGTATGCCTTACATATATCTGGATTGAAAGACTTCTCAAGGAGCTTGAGATATTTGCTCAGGGCAGCATTGAGCTCCTTTTGGCTGCCTTCAAGTTGGTTTCGTGGTGCCATTTCATTCAGCTTAGCTTTCAGTTCTGCAAGGATGGATGGGTGGTCAACATTTCCCGTAGAGTCTGTATTCATCATCTGCAGCTTCACGATAGCCTGCTCAACTTCATTCACTATTTGATCAACAGCTTCCAGAGCTTTAACAGAAGATAATGAACGTTTCTCAGCAACTCGATCAAATCCTTCTCTGAGGCTGTCGATCTCCATTAGCAGCTACCTGGATATGACCAAAAATATCATGTAACCAATTATTTCAATGAGAAAATCACTATCAAGAACATTAGAAAGACGCATCACATGAAATCAAACTGCTAATAGATCACTATACTTTTGAAATAAAAAAATCATAGCATAGGTTCAGCCTTTAAGAATTACAGATGATACTTCAAAAGGATCAAAATGCACATGTAGGCCAGCCAAATGCATGACTGACCTCGAGTCTATCTATAAACATGCAAGCAGATAGGATAGCATACAAGTATACGGTCTGCAATTTAAACAGCAGATAAGTTTGCAAATCACATTAACGCAGGAACTAATATGTTTTCATGAAGAATATTTCAGAGCTACTAGAAAGGTAGCAAAGCAATGAATGTGTCCATGAGTGCCTACGTGAATACTCCAATGGTCTTAAGGTTGGCAAGGCAAGAAATGGTAACAAACGCCTACGTGACACCATACACATCATAAGAAACAGCAAAACAGAAGCAGAGGGAGAGGCAGAGGAAGGAGAAGGAAAATGAAAAGGAGAAAAGTGAAATGGCTTGCTTGGGACTGAATGGCTTTGTTGCTGTAGTAGTAGAAAGGAAAGGGGAAGGGGAAGAGGTGGGGCTGGCCCAGACAATACTGTTAGCAACAATCTTGTGCGTGCATGAACGTGTCCAGGTTGTCAGTGTCTAGGTTATTTGCTATTAGTGCTACCTAGATTTCAGCTTATAGATAACAATGGGCAGATCATAAAGGCATTGAATGCATTAATTAGGAGATTATTATACCATACTTGAATGTAACATTCAGCTCTGTATGAGAAAACAGAAAAGCTGCAGGCATTCCACCAGCAACAATCCAATGTCTGTTTGTGTCTTGTGTGAGTGTCCTGGGCATACTCTTGGAGGGCTGTAGCTACGTATCAAATACACCCCTTCACAGTAGATATGATGTAGGCCCCGACCTTCATGCAGCGCTTTTACCTCAATGCGATACAGCGCCACCGCACCACCACTCCCCTCCTCACCCCGGCAGTCAGACCATCACTCATTTTCCTCCCACCCCACTGCCACCGACCCCTTCCTTGATTCCCTCTCACACTTCTCTCTTCTACACCCTTTCACTGCTTTGGCAAAGTATCAGGGGCACACCCAGGCTTGTAGGAGAGCCTTATCGCCTAGGGAACACTACCTTTAAGAATAGTGATAAACACCAAACGATTCCTAAGATGGCCAAATAAACAGGTTGTAACAGAAATAAATTCCAAACAAATCACTGATTAGTTAGCAGTACTTAATAGCACAGGACTAGAGATTCACTGAACAATTAGCAGGCCATTGCATGTATAACCTTCTAAAATAGAATCATTACTGAACTTCCAAAACAGAAAACTCCTAGTAATTTTAGCGCGACTTACTTTTTCCATGACTACCAATACTTCAAAAGCTTAACTTAGGGCATGGAAAAAAGAAAGATTTTAAAAACTCACATCAGATAATGGGCATTCCTGTAGTATCTGTTGATGTACCTAGCCTGCAGAAAACATTAGGTACAAAGTTAAATCTATTCAGTTATGCTTTAACTGAGGAATGCTTAACAGCAGCACTGCATACCTTTACATTGTTTACATCAGGCGTGTCTGGGGTTTTCACAGGATAAAATTTGTAAAATTTGATATTCTCGAATGCCTCTTTCATCTTAGGATCCATGTCATCAATAGCTTTCTTCCTGGCTTCTTTAGCCTACATAAGTTTGTGGAAACATTAAATACTAATGCAACAAATCACTTGTGACTAAAATAAATAGTTCCCATGATTGCGAACCTGTTTCAGCTCTCTCTTCCTTTCTCTAACCTTCTCCTTCAGAAACTCCTATCAAATAAATGTGGCAGCAAAATGTAAGTTTAAGACTCAAATGTAACCAATTCCTGAAGATTAGCTTAGCCACAGATCAAAATAAATGCAGTACCTTGAATTTTTCTTTCTCACCCTCTGGCATACCTTCTTGAACTTTCTGATCTGCAGAATCCTGCATTGCAAGACAAAAATCAACCCAGATGCACTTTCATCGGTAGCAACTCTAGCATACTGAGCTTCAAAACACATTTCAACACAAACCTCGTAATCATCCATTTCCCAGTCAAACTCGTCTACTATCTGCAGCAAGCAGCACAAAGTAAACAGTGATTCAGGACAACAATCTACAGCTATATGAAAACAAATAGGAATCTTACTGGGGGTTCTAGAGGATATAAGAAACTGATAACTGTGTCATCTTCGTCTTCAAGAGGTTGCAGTGGCATATAATCTGCAGAGATGATAGACAAGGTTCATACATAGATGACAAGACTACTAAAAAAAATCATAAAACCAGATAATACCATAAATATTCAACTGACTTATTGACTTATAATTAATTAGTAGAATAGTTCGAGGATGTCCGAATCAATGTTATCAAGTCGTCCGACTAACCGCGATTAGTCAAGCTGATCGGTGCCATGGCAATCAGTTATGCACTACGATTAGTCGTGGTTAGTCAGGCTGATCAGTGCCATGGCGACTAGAATCGATTAGACGATTTGATAACAGTGGTGTGAATATACCAGGGCACAGGTAGGGCTGTATAAGGGTTCAGTGGGAATGTTAGGTTATTTCAAATGATTGTCTGTGCCACCTAGACGGTTCCTAAGCACCACCGTCCCAGCTAGCTTATGATTTATGCCTAGGTTTAGGTGGTCATTACGTGCTATGTGACACCTCAATGTTTGCCTAGGGATTTTTATAACAAAACATGCTTGGACACTAGACAACATGACTACAGGACCAGTACAGCACTCATGTTACAAAAGTTAATTTCAAGCCATAAACAGCACAACAATCAGCCAACTAAGTAGAGACTACAGAGTTCAGAAGACACTATGTTTCTTCGTGGCCATGTTATTCAACCGCCATTCCAATGAATTAACTGACATAGTTGCCATTTAACTAAGATATAGTTGCAGCATCATAGAATATTATGCACAAAGTCAATTAAGCTTACAAGGCATGCAGTAGTCAAACTTCTTGACTCTCTCAATTTTGAGATGCTTCAGTGCAGACCTACAAAAGGTATAAACCAGAGATTTTGTAACTTGAACCAGTGGTAACAAGAGTCCTTGAAAAAGAAAGGAAATATAACACAACAATGGATGAGCACAAATATGCCGTGTAAACAAATAAACAACAGAAAAAATATAAATCCTAAAGCATGAAATTCCAGAACCATAAATTCGTATTACTAACCTTCGCTGCGTGCATCCGAGAGTGAATATTTTTGTTTTCAAACTGTCAATCCTGCTAAGCCTACAGACAAAGCAAAGCCAAAGTTAGAAAAATAAGTTGCGATGACTTAGGAGAAGAGGTACACATATATATAATGAAAACAACAAACAGCAAATATCGTTCAAAATGACAACACAGAAGTACCGGTCCTCAAGGGGAACATAAGGCACCCATGCCATCTTCATAGCCTTCATTGGCACTATTTCCTCATTTTCCCTTTGGACAGAGTTTATCCCAATTTTATCTGAAGGAGGGAAGGGACAGTCTACCTGCAAAATTGAGTTCAAGTGTTAATATGAGTTCCGCCACCCAGAGATAGATAGCAAAATATTTGGCCCATAAACAAATTGTTTGATCGAGCCACCATAAACTAAAAATATAAAAAACACTTGTCACTTCATTTTAGAGTCAAAACACCAATGAAAAGGAAAAGATCACAGGCCAAAACCCTTTATCTGGACAGCACCAATATTATTATATAAAGAACAAAATGATATAAGGTACTCCCTCCATACTAAAAAATAAAGTCGTTTTGGACAGTGACACGGTCTTCAAAGTATTACTTTGACTCCTTGTTTTTATAAAAATATTTATCAAAAAGTGATATATGCATATTTTTATGAAAGTATTTTTCAAGACAAATCTATTAATATGGCTTTCACATTTCCAAACTCAACAACTTAAAAGTTATTCATGATTTATATTCCCAATGTTTGATCCAAGCCTTGTCCAAAACGAATTTATTTTTTAGTACGGAGGGAGTATTAAATTTGCCTACCAAAGTATAGTTACCTTGGTAATATCAATGGACAAGCTAGATTAAGTCTCTTGCCTTTTTTTTTTACTTTCAAAATGTTTGTCATAATTTTTAATCTTAAAGACTGACATATTTCCAATGCTGTGCAGTTGATAGTACTAAATAAAAATTGCAAGCAACACCCACGAACCAGAGATGGTATGCATTGTTTACTGATGCAAAAGTACAGACAGAATTGCTTAATTGTTTAGCTGGCATAGCCATGATCTAGATGAATAGATTTTCATGTCCAGCGGTTGTGTGGTTTACTTCTATGGCTAGCAGCTAGCTGGTATCCCCAGCAAGTGTATGGTGAACCTTATTTGCTTTCAATAAAAGCAGAGTTATCCCAAGGGGGAGATGTTTATCATAAGATGATGTGGAACTTGATGGATAAGTCTCATGTGTGGTCTTTGTGGGGCTGTACTGCTCACATGGTCCTTGTGGCTGTTTTTCTGCTTTTAGGACAGCATCTTAGACTAGAGGACAGTAGGACAGCATCTTAGAGGACAGCATCTTAGACTAGAGGACATCATCTTAGCTAGGACAGCATATTAGCATCTTAGACTAGCATCTTGGCATATGCTTGGCTGGCTAGCAGCCTATAAATATGTAACCCCAACCCCTCAGGTTGGCATGGCATTTGTGTGAGTTTGTGTGAGAAATAGACAAGAAAATTGCCCCAACTCCTAGTGTCATCCTCTCTCGATGAGAGTAAGAATTCTTCTACTACCAAGAGTGAGAATTCAGCGACTAACAACTGGTATCGAGCCAGATTATCCTCAGAGCTTTGAGCATCTCCTCGCTCATCTTCCCTCCCAGCCACACAACAGCCCCAGTGCGAAGCAAAGCAACCCGGCTGCGCCTCTCACTTCACTCCAGATTTAGCAAATGTCTGAAGCAGCCCTCTCCCCACGCAGCAGTCCCCCGGTAGCGCGTCATGTCCGTCCAGATAGTCTCGGCCTTCGGTCGCGCCTCGAGCACGCGGCGTCGGCGGCAGGAGGCCGAACTTGCCGCGTAGAGGAACGCGGCGAAGCGAAGGGCGGCAGAGACAGCTGGCGGCGGCAACGGCGGGCGCCGAGGTCGGCAATGGCGCGGCCGGCAAGCAGCGGAGCGAGGCGGAAGCAGCGGCGGCGGCGGCGAATGCAGCGCGGCGTCGGCGGCGGCGGAGGTCGAGGTTTGCAAGGCAACGCGGGCAACTCCATTTCGCCGACGACACCGCCCGACGCGGACCTCGAAGCTGCTAGAGAGAGGGAGGCATGAAGCTGGCGGCGCGATGGCAGCCGCGCACGCCCACGAGCGTGGCGGCAGCCCAGACAGGCGCGGACGCGCTGGCGGCGCTCCTGGAGGAGGCGCGCACGGCGGTGGCGCTCCTGGGGCAGCCGCGCACGCCCACGAGCGTGGCGGTAGCCCAGACAGGCGCGGACGCGCCGGTGGCGCTCCTGGAGGAGGCGCGCACGGCGGCGGCGCTCCTGGAGGAGGCGCGCCGCGACAGCGGTGGCGGGCGGGGTCGATGGAGAGCGCGGCCTTCACGAGCGGCGTGGCTCTCTCTCCGGATCGGTACCGACGGGTCGATGGAGAGCGTGGCCTTCCACGCAGCGCGGCGTGGCTCTCTCCCCGGATCGGTATCGTGGTTACCACGGGCTCCGTGTCTGTTGTCGGGGACGCCGGTCCCGGCGGTGGGTGGCCTACCTCACCAAGACCAACTACGCCGAGTGGGCTGCGGTGATGAGGGTAAAGCTCCAAAAGGCGGCGGCACATGTGGGAGGCGTCCGATGCGGCGACGTCGACTACGACCTAGATCGACGGGCACCGGATGCTCTCATCGCTGCAGTCCCGCCCGAGATGCGCTTCTCGCTTACCGAAGCGCGACCGCCAAGGAGCTTGTTTGGCCGCCATCGCCGCGGCACGCGCGGCAGCGACCGCGCCCGCAAGTCCACACTATAGGCACTTCGCAAGGAGTGGGAGAACCTGACCTTCAAGCCAGGTGAGGACGTTGATGACTTTGCTCTCCGTCTCAACACTCTATTGCAGAAGATGGTGCAGTTCGGCGACGACACCTACGGCGAGGAGAGAGCTGTCGAAAAGCTCTTCCGCTGCGTCCCCGAGAAGTACAAGCAGATGGCTCGCTCGATCGAGTCTCTGCTGGATCTCTCCACGATGTCGATCGAGGAGGCGATAGGTCGCCTCAAGGTCGTCGACAGTGATGAGCCACAGTCCCTCTCGGGGCCCATCACCACTGGCGGGAAGCTCCTTCTCACTCGGGAGCAGTGGCTTGCCAGCCAAGGTGACCGGAGGAAGGGGGAGCCTTCTTCCACGACAGGCGGCCGCAAGCATGGCAAGCCGCGCAAGGCGCGCAGAGACGCCCAGGCCGGGGCACGAGGACGCGTCGAGGGTGATGCCCGTGGAGGCGCCAGGGCGCCGCGCCCGGCGAAGCCTGGCCGACGAGATTTACACTTGCCGCTGCGGCCTTTGCCATTGGGCCAAGGATCGCCGGCAACCACGACGCTGCCAGCCCCACATCGCGACAAAGCGGAGGAGGAGCCGGCTCTGTTCATGGCACATGCCAGCATCGAGCTACCTCCAGCGGCACCGGCCGCAGCGGCTCTCCTCCACCTTGACGAGCCAAAAGCACACGCCCTCCTCGGCAACGGCTCCGGCAACGACAAGACTGACGGGTGGTGCCTCGACACCGGCGCCACCCATCACATGACCGGTCGACGGGAGTTCTTCACCGAGCTTGACTCTAGCGTCCGAGGCTCCGTCAAGTTTGGGGATGCCTTCGGCGTGGAGATCAAGGGCGTCGGCTCCGTCATCTTCACCACCGTGTCTGGTGAGCACAGGCTGCTCACCGGAGTCTACTACATCCCCACGTTGAGGAACTCCATCATCAGCTTGGGACAGCTAGATGAGAACGGTTCGCGCGTGGTGGTTGAGGACGGAGTCATGAGGATTTGGGATCGTCGTCGTCGCCTTCTTGCCAAGGTATCTAGAAGCGCAAATCGACTATACGTCCTTAACGTGCAGGTGGCACAACCCCTCTGTCTCACTGCTCGTCGGGACGACGAGGCGTGGCAGTGGCACGAGCGTTTCGGGCACCTTCACTTTGAGGCCCTGAAGCGGCTCAGTGCCACGGAGATGGTGCGAGGCCTGCCGTGCCTCGACCATGTGGAGCAGCTCTGCGACGTCTGCGTGTTGACGAAGCAGAGGCGACTCCCCTTTCCACAGCGGAGCTAGCTTTCGAGCCAAGGAGAGGCTCGAGCTTGTGCACGGGGACTTGTGTGGCCCGGTGACACCGGCCACACCGGGAGGACGACGCTACTTCCTGCTGCTCGTCGACGACCTCTCCCGCTACATGTGGGTGATGGTCCTCGGCAGCAAGGGAGAGGTCATGCGACGCCATCATCGCCGTGCGTGGTCGTCTGCGGAGGCGGAGTGCGTCTGACCAAGTCATAGGCGCGTGCTGCGCACCAACAACGGCGGCGAATTCACGGCGGCTGAATTCGCATCATACTGCGCTGACGAGGGCATTCAGCGCCACTACTCTGCGCCGTACAGCCCGCAGCAGAACGGAGTCGTCGAGCGGCGCAACCAGACGGTTGTGGGGATGGCTCGGGCCCTCCTCAAGCGAGGGGATGCCGGCTGCCTTCGGGAGAGGCGGTGGTGACGGCCGTCTACATCCTCAACCGCCGCCTACCAAGGCGCTCGACGGCGGGGCGCCCGTGACGAGGCTTGGCATGGGCGCAAGCCGGGCGGTCTCCCACCTGCGGGTCTTCGGCTGCCTCGCATTCGCCAAGGGAGCTTGGCCACATCAAGAAGCTCGGCAGCGAGCACTCTGGGAGTGTTCATCGGCTACGCGGAGGGCTCGAAGGCCTACCGCATCCTCGACCCGAAGACACAGCGTGTGCGCACGGCGCGCGACGTTGTGTTCGACGAAGGGCGAGGATGGGCGTGGGACAAGGCGGTGGACGATGGCTCGGCTCCGACGTACGACGACTTCACTGTCGAGTACGTCCACTTTGAGGGAGCTAGGGGAGTAGGCAGCTCTTCTTTGGCGAGCGCGTCTACCCCAGTCCCCGAGCCTCCACCGACCCCGGCGCCTGCTACTCCGACAGCACCACACTCTCCAGCCAGGACCTCGGCTGCGATGAGTTCTTTGCCGGCTCCACCACAGCCGGCAACGCCACGTACTCCAGCATCGACAGGCACCTCTCCGGGCACGTCTACTCCAGCTCGTGTCGAGCACAGCCCGGTTGAGCTCGCTACTCCGCTCTCTCACGACGAGGAGCGCATCGACGCGTACCACGACGGCGAGCCATTGCGGTACCGTATGATGGAGAACCTTCTCGGTGACCAGCTGGTGCCGGGACCGGTGCCTCATGACCTGGAGGCGCAGTTGCACCTTGCGTGTGACGACGGCGAGCCTCAGTCGTATGCAGAGGCCGAGAGACACGTGGCATGGCGCGCCGCGATGCAGTTGAAGATGGATGCGGTTGAGAAGAACCGCACCTGGGAGCTTGTTGACCTTCCTCGTGGTCACCGCGCGATCACCCTTAAGTGGGTGTACAAGCTGAAGAGGGATGAAGCCGGTGCCATAGTCAAGCACAAGGCTCGCTTGGTGGCACGAGGTTTCGTGCAGCAGGAGGGGGTCGATTTCGACGACGCCTTTGCTCCCGTGGCACGGATGGAGTCCGTGCGACTCCTCCTTGCGCTAGCTGCCTAGGAGGGCTAGCGTGTTCATCACATGGACGTCAAGTCGGCGTTCCTTAACGGTGACTTGAAGGAGGAGGTCTACGTGCACCAGCCGCCGGGATTTGCGATCCCCGGTAAGGAGGGCAAGGTGCTCCGCCTGCGCAAGGCCCTCTATGGCTTGCGGCAGGCACCGAGGGCGTGGAATGCCAAGTTGGATTCCACGCTAAAGGGGATGGGCTTCGAGCAAAGCCCGCATGAGGCGGCCATCTACCGACGGGGCAGTGGAGGAACTGCTCTGCTGGTGGGTGTCTACGTCGATGACTTGGTGATCACTGGCACCAAGGATGCGGAGGTGGCGGCATTCAAGGAAGAGATGAAGGCCACCTTCCAGATGAGTGACCTGGGGCCTCTCTCCTTCTACATGGGCATCGAGGTGCACCAGAATGACTCCGGGATCACACTTGACGCACCGCCTATGCCAAGCGGCGTCGTTGAGCTAGTTGGGCTCACCGATCGCAACCCGACTCTCACTCCGATGGAGGAGAGGCTGAAGTTGAGCCGCGACAAAGACCTGACGGAGGAGGTGGACGCTTCTGCATCTGCGGCTTCTTGTGGGAGCCTTCGCTACCTCGCCCACACACGCCCGACTTGGCATTCTCCATCGGCTCGTTAGTCGGTTCATGCAACGACCGACGACGGAGCACCAAAGCCGGTCGTGAAGAGGATCATCCGCTATGTTGCGGGGACTCTCGACCACGGCCTCTACTACCCGAGGTGCCACAGGGCGGCACACTTCGCTCGAATGCAAATGACAAATGACCACGCCCGGCGACATCGACACCAGCAAGAGCACGAGTGGGATCCTCTTCTTCCTCGGCAAGTGCCTCGTTAGCTGGCAGTCGGTCAAGCAGCAGGTGGTGGCCCTGTCCAGCTGCGAGGCCGAGTACATAGCGGCCTCCACCGCTTCGACTCAGGCGCTCTGGCTCGCTCGACTGCTTGGTGATCTCCTCGGCAGAGACACTAGAGCGGTGGAGCTCAGGGTGGACAGCAAGTCCGCTCTGGCCCTGGCAAAGAACCCCGTGTTCCACGAACGTAGCAAGCACATCCGGGTGAGGTACCACTTCATCCGAGGCTGTTTGGAGGAAAGGAGCATCAAGGCGAGCTACATCAACACCAAGGACCAGCTTGCGGACCTGCTCACCAAGCCCCTTGGGAGGATCAAGTTCCTTGAGCTCTGCTCGAGGACCGGGATGGTTCAACTCTCCCACAAGACGACGCACAAGACTTAGGGGGAGAATGATGGATAAGTCTCATGTGTGGTCTTTGTGGGGCTGTACTGCTCACATGGTCCTTGTGGCTGTTTTTCTGCTTTTAGGACAGCATCTTAGACTAGAGGTCAGTAGGACAACATCTTAGAGGACAACATCTTAGACTAGAGGACAACATCTTAGCTAGGACAGCATATTAGCATCTTAGACTAGCATCTTAGACTAGCATCTTGGCATATGCTTGGCTGGCTAGCAGCCTATAAATATGTAACCCCAACCCCTCAGGTTGGCATGGCATTTGTGTGAGTTTGTGTGAGAAATAGACAAGAAAATTGCCCCAACTCCTAGTGTCATCCTCTCTCGATGAGAGTAAGAATTCTTCTACTACCAAGAGTGAGAATTCAGCGACTAACAGAACTACAGGGGCCGTTTTCAATAGCGCATGTTTCCAACAACATGTTTTGGAAGTTGGAACTCAAAATAGTGGAGTAAATAGAGTAAATATACACACAGGGTAGAGCCAATTAGTCTTGTATGGAACAATAATCAACAGCCTCAAAAAACTAGTAAACAAATGAAACAGATGGCCTATACTAAAATTCACTTTACGAATCCAGCACATAAATAGTGTTGCACATATAGAATTGTTGAATTTACTAAACAAATAGCTCTTCAAGATAAAATTGAGATTAATTAGCCCAGATAGCACTGGTGTGAGATATTACAAGATTAACAAACATGCATCAAGGATTAATGATAGCAGATTAATTTTAGAAACTAGCTGAAAACGGAGTGCACATACGCTCGGTGCTTCCAAACATATAAACTGCCTTTCCATGAAGCTCTCCCCCTTCTTCTAAGGCTTTCTGTTCACCAACAACAACCACATATCATCGTGAAGGGGGAACACTAAACACTCAAAAAGCAAGATGGGTTAAAAGGTTAACTTTGATCACCATACCTCTAAATTTTCGAAGCTCCAGTTGAACTCCTTTACCTTATCAATGTTTTCCCACTGCACATGATATGGCAAGTTACATAAGTTGTTAAGGAAAAGATGAGAGCTATCTCCAAATGTGGATCACTAGCATACACACTAGTGCAAATTAAAGGAGGCAGGGATGGGAGCACACCTCAGTGCCAACAGGGAAAGCAGATAACCATAGATCCTCCTGAACATAGCAAAAATCATTAGTCAAAATGCGCGTGAACGTAAATAGCGAAGTCGTCATACAAGGCAGCCAAACACAATCTAAATCGTTATGGTAATTTCCAAAAATAAACCTGTTCGAGCCAACATGCAAGAAAATGCTTCTAAAGCCATCATGTTCTAATTTACCTTAAAAACATTTTAGTGCTAATCATACATGGTTCTCAGGCCTCATATATCAGCCGCAACACATGGACAGAAGAAAATGTTGACCTATCAAACTGCACACTAGAATCGCATAAAGCACACAGATTTGAAATTTTTCATCAATAACGAATTCCTAACACCACGGTAGTGCATTGCTATTTCCTACTCAGATGAGGAGAATCCAATAGTAAAACCAAGTATAACCCTACATAACCATGGAATGCCACATTTGAGGATTACCGGGGTAGAATGGAGCCATCATCCCGGTTTTTTTCGATCAATCAAAACCTTTGCAAATCTTGCCGCTAGAGCAACAATCGAAAGTGAAGCCATCCATGAGCTAATCAGATCAGACCAAACGACTACTCGGGGTTACCAAAACCTAAACCGAGCTAGGTCACCCTAGAAAACAAACTCACCAGATTTCTTTTCTCCGGAAGTAATCCGTCTCGGGCTTGGGCGCGCTTTGACGCGCTTCCCCGCCCCGAGTTGCCGGCTCCGTCGCCGCCGCCTCGAGCTTGCTCGAAGCACCGGCGGCCTCCTCGCTCGACCGAATCGATGGCGGCCGCTGGGCGCCAGGCGCTTCTTGCCCTCGGGCGCCATCGATCTCGGTTGCTAGGGTTAGGGTTGCGGCTCACGTTTGGATTGTGAGAGGTGGCTTTGGCCTTTGGATGTGCGTTCGGCGGGCTGCAGTAGCCGTTGAATCGAACGAACCCGATGACAACCGGCGTGGTTTTGTCGACGAGAGTGCAACGAGGGAGACGCGAGAGAGAAAATGCTTTAGGGCACTGCTAGACATCTGCGTCGTTTGGCAGCGAGATTCAAATTAAGTGCGGATGACACATGGGCTCCACCTGTTACTGATCTCTTCCTGGATGTGCCAGTTGTAGGTAAGTATGTTGGTGTTACTCCACAACATTTGCACGCTGATAATTGGACTATGTCGAATAGAATTAATCACCGAATCAATTATTTTATACAATGGTATAAAAGTTAGTGATAAAAATATTTTTTTGATTAATCAAAAGAATAAGAGGGAGAAAAAAATGCAACGAAGGATTGCATAATTATTTTTTTTTCTCATAGTTCACCTACTTTTTTACTTAATAATAGAAATTCTATTTGTTTTGATAAGCACAATCAATTTAATTAGTAAGCATGTGATGAGGCCGATATGTGGTTACATTTGATTCAAAAATAAATAGATTATTTTATACTTATTAAATCCAAATAAGGTGCACCAATAAATTCATCGATGCCATCTTCAAGAAGTATAACCGTTGATAGGTTGGAAACGGACAACTTTCTCAACATATTCATATACATTATCATAGTTGTTTTCTCTTTCCGTTGCCGATCCAAATGGAGCTGCAATCTCCTGTTTCATTAATAATTGGATATATTGAGAACTCATATAGGCCTCGTTCGTTTCGCTGAAAAAACAAGCCGAAACACTGTTCCGGCTGATTTGTTGTGAAAGAAAAATACTGTTTCAGCTGAAAAAACAAGCTAAAAAATACAGATTATAAGAGAAGCGAACATGGCCATAGCACTAACGTACTACGGACTAATATGGTTAAGATTAGAGTAGTGACGGTGAAATCCTAGCTTGCCATCTAAGACTCAAAATTTATATGGCTGTACCTTAGTAAGGTATGGGGTTGAACATCATAGGAAAATTACATGAATAATTAGTAAGAAATTAAAATATGGCAAAATTTTTGCCGTTCTTTTGAAAAAAAAAAGTTGAACGACAATCCTAGTGATCTGGACTGACTTCTTGACAGAGGCGGACCTGTTCGTCAATCTTTAACTTGCTAGTTGCAAGCCGTCCGAGTCGTTGCGCTGCGTGTGGATTCGACTGTGGTTGAACACGCAGCTCCTTGCAGATTAGCCAAGCAAGTGACCAAGATGAACAAGGAGCGGATCCCTTCGCGTCAAGTCATCGAGCAGAACAAATCAAATGAACAGGATGCACCAAATGTTTTTTAGATAGTGGATGCACCAAACGTACATCTAGAGGTGACAATGGATTAGTATCAAAATGCATTGGATCAATCCTATTAAAATCTAGGAAAAAATCCAAGTCCAAACCTATCTTGATGCAAAATGATTAATGTCTAATATAATTCAATTGCTATTAAGTCCAAATCCTGAAATCCATCGAATATAATCCAATAATAATAATAAAACTATCATAACTACCTAACCTCAGAATTTAAAAGCTCACGTTTGTTAGGAGATATGGATGACTTGATGGGTCGTTAGGCGTCCGCCTAGGTCTGTTAGGCTTGCGCCATCTCTTGTACACAAAGATAGGAGAATTTGTTAGTTTGTTGTAGAGTCTATCTCTTATAAGTTGGAATTTTGTACAAGCCACACTAGGAGCTGTTCCTGGTCATTATAAACATGGAGCCGAGTCTGCCAAGGGAGAGGCAACTCGTTCATGCCATTTTCTCAACGTTCACCTTAAAGTTTTAGCAAAATCGATTAAAATTTACGAGACATGGGTCAACACGATTACCTGCTACTTTTGTGCAATCAAACGTGACTAAATATAGATATGGACCTCACGTCAAAAGCTTGATCCTATAACAAAAACAGCGTGTTCACACATTAAATTTAAGCGAAATTGATTATTTGTTGTAAGTAATTCACTACGATCGTCCGCTACTTTGTGCAGATGAATGTGAATAGTAGTATATAAGTAGGATCCATGCCAAAAAAAATGGGACCCTAAAATGAAAAATCTTGTGTTGACACCTTAAAAAGTTAGTGAAATCAATTGTTTTTGTTTCTAGAAATGACTTAACATGGTTGTTGGCTACTCTATGTAGATCAGGGTGACTAGATATAAATATATGTGGACCCCACTTCAAAAGTCAGGCTCTAATTTGAGACATCGCGTTCACACATTAAAATTTTAGTGAAACTAACTAAAATTGTTAGAGACGACTTATTATGATTGCTATCTAACTGTCGGTATTTCGAGTAAACACCAACAAGTAAATTTCTAATATTACGCGTCTAGCTCGGATGGTGTGCTAAGAGGACACGAGGTTTATACTGGTTCAGACAGAATGTCCCTACGTCCAGTTCGATGCTGCTGCTCGTGTTTTTAGCACTGAATGTTCGTACTAGGGGTTACAAACGGTTGAGAGAAGGATAGGTCCCAAGTCTCTGGTGAGTGGAACGAACGGATGCCGAGAGCTCAGTTGCTGCTCAGCTATGTGTTCGAGGTTCGAATGTGATGTGTTGCGATGCTCGTGGATTCGATCCCCTTAGTAGGGTGCCATGCTTTCCCTTTTATAGGCCAAGGAAATGCATGGGTTACAGCGGACGAAGAGAGGAGAACTAGTCGGAGAGGAAGTCCTCCATGGTCGCCAGGCCTTTCTTTTCCTTTGCGCGGGTCCTGCTGACACTATAGGCGGTGATAGGGACCGCTCCACGCCGGAGGCCTGTCCGCTGACGATACCATTTCCTGGCATTGTCAGCGGGTCGTGATGTCCCACCTTGCCCTGACGGGCGGCGCGGCGAACCAGCGTGCTGACCGGCGGCCGTACAGGGAGTGGGCAGCATAGTGACCATACGTCCATGTTGACACAAAATGTGACGCTAGCGTGCCTCACACACGCAAAAGCCGGAAAGCGTGGCTTCAATTGGGTGCCCGGTGCTTCGTGATCCGAAAACGCGGTCGGTTTGACTGAAAAAAAAACTAACAAGGGATAAAATAGTTAAATGCCAAACCGGAACATGTCGGGTGAGACCGCATAGTTCCATATATACGACCTGAAGCCACTTACAACGACATACGACTATAGGAAGCTATCTCGCCAAACAAGTTTATAAACCATTCGGCTAATCGTAAGATGAGCACACGTAAAGATCCGATTGCCGAATGCATGTGCATGGGAAGACATGTTTGAACAAGTGAAATTAATCATGAGTTAATGCATAACCAAGCTCAAAAATCCAAATTGAGTTGGGGTCCATGAAGAAGGAACGTGCAAATAAACACGATTAAACTAATCTAAAACTCTGCATCCGCCGCACGACACCCTAGTTTCGTCAAAGCTTAAACGTAATTAACATGCATGAACCCACGACATGTGACAATCTAGATTAAAATAATTCAGCCATTACGAGCATGTTATCTATTTGCAAAGGTAATACGAAAGTAATGATCATTGAAGCACCTAATAAAACCATAAGAGAGGGCCAACAATATCAATCTAGATTGGGCGTAAGTGTGTTACAAATATATAAAATATTTAAAACATGCAACACAGGATAACTTAATGAATCTATTTAGATTTTGCCGTATCTAATAGAGCCGATAACTGTCTTGCCTTCACTAAGCATATTGAGCAAACGCCTGCCGCACGGTATCTACTCATAAACAAAGCATAAGCAAAGACTTCTTGATTGTCAAGCAAAGATCCGCCGCACGATCATTGAAAACAAACAAGACTACTTGCATCACGTCTAAATCCACCGCATGATACTAAACATGATAACAAGGTTGTCGGAACTTACGGAGGTCGACGGATCGATGACTCCTCTCGAAGAACTCGACGACACGACAAAAGGACTCGAAAGTTGGCACGGGGCCGGTTGTATTGATTTGGTTGTGAACGCCTATTACAATGGTCGAGGGTCAATATTTATACCCTAGACAAAACACGAGTCCTAAAAGACTACGATTTACAAAGGAACTCTTAAACAAACTTGGAAACTACGATTCCTTGCCCTAAACTCTCAGAGTCCTTTATTATTACAACTTTCATCTTTTCGATCGGCTTTGCCTGCCATCTTCTGCTTTCCCGAATGGAGTCACCACCTTCTGAAGTAACCAACCGCACAAGCATTTAGCCGACCGCTCGTTTTGTTTGCCGAATGTCCTTCTTCCTGTATGCGGGTCCACCTGTCATCTTCCGAAGTCGACCAAAATCCAGTGTTAACACATGCCCCCTCAATTTCGGGATAAAAGTTGTTTTATTCTGAAATTGACCACAAGCTCCTTCTCCCTCCTAGGTCAGCACCGTTCAACACCGCAGCCGCTGTCCAAAAATTCAAGCTTTCAGCGCAACCTCGGACCCACTTTGAATCTTCAATGGCGACCCAGGATGAAATTCCAGAGGTAAACTTCACTTATATTCGGCAATTTCCACTTGATCTTCCCGTTCTTCTTTTGGCTTATTCCTCTTTGATTTCAATCACCCTTTACAGGAATACAAGAATCAGATTTTGATCCCTTATGCTGCCAACCCTGATTCCTATTTCCTCGGCCCAATGGGAAATCCTGACCCTTTTGAAATTATCGAGAAGGAAACCCAAAGAATCCCTTTCAAATCTGGGATCACCTTGCCAAACCGATGGCCAAACACGTTCAAGAATTGGCCATTTCCCCCAATCGCTGGATGGCGGAATTGGTACAGGAGAATGCTGGAGAAAAGCAGCAGCCACTGGGAAAGTCAAGACATCAGTCATTGTCTGGAATTATCCTTAGCAGAAACACCCAGAAACGATTCCCTTTTGATAGCAGCTTCCCATTTTTGGTCTGACACCATTAATGCCTTCATCTTCGGCCATGGTATGATGAC